TTCGTATTTATTATATCTTAACAATGTCATTTCGACAATAGCGGTGCGTTGGTGCTTAGTGACGGAGGCGTATGTTGCATTGATGAATTTGATAAGATGTCAGATGGAACACGCGCTATCCTCCACGAAGTGATGGTTTGTACTTTACATTACTTTAGCTTATCGTCACAGCAGTTTCTGATTTTTTACTTTATTCTTAATAGGAACAACAAACGGTTTCTGTTGCCAAAGCTGGGATAATTACGACACTCAATGCTCGCACTTCGATCCTTGCTTCTGCAAATCCGGTAGACTCAAAATATAATCCTAAACTCTCCATTGTTAAAAATATCGACTTACCTCCAACCTTGATGTCACGGTAATAAATTAAAACAATTTTTATGTTATAATTTTTATTAAACTTACCTACCTTTTTGTTTGCACGGATACAACACATCGGTGCAGGTTTGACTTAATATATTTAGTGGTGGACAATTCAGAAGAGTACGCAGACCGAAGGCTAGCAAATCATTTGGTTTCATTATACTTGGAAGATGCACCTTTTACGGCAGGGAAAGATATTTTGGTAATTTTTATCGATTATTTTTCATGATTAAGTCTCCAAGTTAGCTAACAATACAAATCGCATCGCTATTTTAGCCCGTCAAAATCCTGACGAAATACATTAAATATGCACGCAAAAAATTCCAACCAATAATCGGAGATAGTGAGTCGGCTAGCGCACTTGTTAAAGCTTATGTTGATTTACGCAAAAGGGGAGTCGATCCTCGTACATCAGAAGTTGTTATTACCGCAACAACCAGACAATTAGAATCCATGATCCGGTTATCAGAGGCGCATGCTCGTATGAGGTAACGTTTCTATGGATAATCTCACTTTTGATGTTGATAATTTCAAATTTGCTGATAAATTCTTTCACAGACTTTCAAATAAGGTCAACATAGACGATGTCAGAGAAGCAGAAAGACTACTCAAGGAAGCAATACAACTTGCTGCCTTTAACCCCGAAACTGGTGAGATTGATATGGATCTACTTACAACGGGATTCAGCAGTCGCGAAAGAAGAATGCTGGATGATATGCGCAGGGAACTCAGAAATATGTTTTCGCGCTTGAATTCAGACACAATAACATGGACAAAGGCATTTGAAGAATTTAAAGAGCAATCATATGAGGTTATTTATTAATTATTTATTTCATCTTCTGAGTAATATTGAAAATTACATTCATTTAACTCGTCTTATCACATGATTAGAACCTTCATGAAAGGGAATTTGATCGGGCAATCCGGTTCCTGGAACGTGAAGGATTCATTATGTTAACCGGTACTGGAGAACGGTTAAATCGTCTAATTAAAAAATTAGATTAATATTTTGTGATTATATTCAAGACATGAACGTTCTTTGGTTATTTGGTTTTTGTAAAATTTTTTTCTTTACTAATAAACGGACAATCTTTGAATTTTTTACAAATTTTGTTACACTCAATACGTATATAATGGAGTTTACAAAAGCAAATACCATGATACTTATACACACGAGTTAATTGTTTAGTAACGCAATTATAAAAAACCAATAAAAAATAAGTTGTTTATTATGAAGTTTAGATATTGTTTTTTAAATAAATATTTTTGCAAATTTATTTAATAAAAAAAATTTTTTTTTAATTAACATAAAGGTTGAAATGATTTTTTGTATTTATTTATAAAAATACTTAAATGTAAATCTTCACTTTTAATCAAAATCACCTAAGTCAACATATAAAAGAATTTTGGGATTTGGAATGTCCATTTTCTAACCATAACAAATATTCAATAAATAAAAAAAGAGTTTGGAAAAAATTAAAGATATATAAAGCAGTTATCAGAACTCAAAAATACATACTAGATTTATACATACAATGCTTATTATATAGTCTAATTTGATTTAATAAATACTTTGGTTCATGTAATTTCATTGTATAATTTACTAATAAAGAAATTTGACTCAAGTGACCAGAAATCACTTCTACATTTGTACATAAAACTGTCAAAAACGCGTCGATAGCATTTTACACTTACGTATCCTAACCCAAGAATTTGATGCCTATAGAAACCATGAAAGATATCACTTTTACCACATCTGACTGCATCTCAAAACCTCTAGAGGTGGTAAAAACCCTTATTGGTAATAAATATTACGCCAATGGTTTGCACTCTTAGGTATAAATCGCGCCTGACCTTATCTGTCAATGACCAGGAGAATCCAATTCGGCTGAAGCTTCCTCCAAAAAGGAATATGACGTTCCCACCTTTTTTCAAAATGTTTTTGCAACAGAAGAGAGCATGTTTGAAGTATGGCACCGTATAATCCAAGTACCTTTCCTTATTAACATCAAATAATCAATAATATCAAAATAATTTATTGAAAGATACCCTCGTTGAACGATACTCACTTTTCCGACATTCCTCATTGTACACTCGTCCGATTTCGAGCCATGATACAAAATACCGGATTGGGACATGAAATGTTCGTGAGCTCTTATGAAACATTAGGTCATGATGGTCATAAGGTTTGATCTACGCATCCATCGTTCGTTTATTGAGATGCCTTGAGGTTGTCTCATTCTTTATATTGTACTTCACAATTTAGCAATGGAAATTTAACAAATACTCCGATGACATGGATGTGGTGATCATTAAGAACAATTTTTTTATGAGTGTACTTCTTATAATTGGACTTAACTGAAAAATCATGAATGTTTTTTCTGGGGAGAAGGATGAAATCTTAGATTTAAATGCACCAGGCAACCAATTTGACGAAAGACATCTATATTACTGCGTATCAATTCCTGGAGAAACACAATGGGCTAGACAAATATCCTATAATTATATAACAATTTCCATGAATAAATGTTTTTCTTCCATATATGATATTATTCTTTGACGTAGAACTACGCCTACAAGAAGCGTGATTCTTCCTCCATTGGAATAGAATCAAGCATTGAAGGTTGGTCTAAATGCCAATGTGGTTTACAAATCAGATATATATGATTTATCGATTCAAGCATTGATAATAGCTATCGTGAGATCAACGGCAAATCTAAATTTAAACAATGACAAGGGAACCAATATTGGATTAGAAAAACTCGCGTCTAAATTTCCTTTTCCCAATGAAGATCATGTGGCGGCCATAGTTAAGGTAATATTATGCAATCCATATTTCAAAATAAGTCTCATATCCTATTTTACGTAATTTATACATTCTTAGATTTATGACAAAGATGATTCTCTCAAAGTGACGGATGTGGTTGAGTTTATTGGTGTTCTGGCGCATCCCAGGTTTTATTTCTTTTTCCGAATTAATCACAAATTCCACTTCGGGATTTCATCAATTTATTGGTTGACTGGTTGAAATTTAAGCAATGAAATGGATTCGCAAGGAGATGAATTCAGTCTCGACGCGGTATTTTCAAGTATTCCTTGTCTCCACGCAATATTTTATAGAAACGTATACCCTTCAGGAAATCCATTAGAGTCGCGTTTGACAGATCTTAATGGTAAGTAAATCTTTAAACTTCGAATTAATTATATTCAACCGTTGATTACTAACTAATTTACTTATATGTTTTAAGTAATACAAAGCCAAGCAAATCGCACAAGAAGTTCTTTGCTACAATACATTTCATCTGCTTTGGGAGGAGATGAATTGGTAGCTGAATTTGTGTTGCTACAACTCTTATCCAGAATGTGCGTTTTCATGTACAAATTAGGTTTCCAATGAACATTACTATATATTTTTGATTTTGTTTCCTCAATTCAGATATAATCGACGTAATGGTCTCACCCTTGGCAAACTTGTCTTGAACATCAGCAATGTACCTTCAACTTGTATTAATACAGAAGAAAATTCCCTTTCGTCTGGGCTAATTCACTCTAACCAATATTCTAAACGCATTGCCGCGGTCCTTGAATCACTCTTACCAAAATATCACGACCTTCCACTGACACTTTCAACCTTAAATGAACTTTATTATTATCCGCGAAGTAATGAAGAGTTGGATTCCGGAGTATTTCAAGTTAGTCAGGGAACCTGGTTTTTGATTGACGAAACTGTCATGAAGGAGGGCAAGCTTGGCGATATCGGTAACGAAAAAGGATTTACCCATAAAAGATGCTGCACTTTATTAATAGAATTGAATTAATGATCATAGTATCACTTTATAGGTGTCCGTAATTTACAAGTATTAAACGAAATACTCGATAACCAAAAACTCAAATATACATTCCCCTTTAATGATTTTGAACTTGAGACTGACATTGGAGTAATCATATTGTCTGATGCTAAATCATTTCTACCAGTAAGTCTCAATGAAGATTTTCACATGAGAAAGTATTTCCGTCATTATTGATCTATACATATTTTATGGAATACAGGTTGATTGCATTATTCCTTTGTTAGGAAATCCAGAAGAGACTTTGATGTTAGACGTTCGAGAGGATTTACTTATAGAGTTTAGAAACTACCTTAGTATTCTTCGTTGTGCTGAATTTTCAATTCCGGATGACGTTTCGGAGGTTTGTAAGACATTATAGAGTCAACTTACTTGATGATTCCAGATAATAAAATTAACCTATGTTTGTTTTTATCAGTATATCCAAAATGAGTTTGTTCGTCAAAGAAAAAACGCTTCAATAAGTGGTCATCCCTTAATGACTCAAGCGGACCTTTTATTGCGCATGACCTTGGCAAGGTAAGTCTCTACATAGCAATTTTCACCATAGTAGACGCGAGATCTGAATTGAAATTATTTTGTAAAAACAGGTTGGTCACACTGAGTTTCGGTCGATTAGAGTTAACTACCGAATTATGGGATTATACGCAGAAACTAGATGAACAGAGAAAACAGCGTATTGTAAATTTTGAACAAAGGCCATGATATGATAGATATGGTGAATTGTAATTTTCAAAGTATCTTGAATAAATTCTAATATTTTTATAACAATTGAATTCTTCCATTCTATATGATTTTATAATGAATTGTTTATAAAATTGCGACGTTAAAAAACTTGTAAATATTTTATTTGTAGATAGATTATTGCTATTAAAGAGACTTTAACTAATAAAGTAAAAGTATATAATTAATATTAAGCTATAAGTTATATGCTATAGATATTAGTTTATCACCTATTTAACAGATATATCATCTAAAAAATCTTTAAGCAAGAAAAACTTAAGGAACTATCTGTTATAAAAATAAAAATAAAAAATAAAAAAACATTTGGAACAAAATCATTATAATATAGTAAAATTAGAGAAGAAAAGAAAAAGTTGAGATAATGTTACAGCTTTTGTTAAATATGGTTTTTGAATACAATTAATTGTTTCAGTCAGATGGTAGTATTATACAAGCTACAAATAGGAATCAAAATTTTAAATCAAAAATCAATTGATTCACAAATTAGTTTTGGTTTAAATTAAATTAATTTTTAAAATTTTAAACTAATAAAAATAGAATCAGTTTAGTTTTAAAATTTTATAAACCAATCAGATTAGATTAGATCAATTTCGGTTTAAATCAAAATTGATTTTGATTTTTTATATTTTAGAAACAAAAATAGAAAAATTAAATTAAAATGAAATATATAAAGTAATAAAATAAAATAATCAAAATTTTTTTTTATAATTTGACTTTGTTTTATTTTTTCATGATATAAGGTTATAAATAAAAAACTTTTTGATAATTTTATTTTTGCTATTTTATCATTTCTTTATATTTCAGCAAGTTTATTTAATATTGATGTTTTTTTTATTATAACAATTATTGTTTAACTTCTTATTGATAATTTTTTAACAATTTTTTTAAAATGGAACATGAAAATTCTTCTGACAGTTTTAATTTTCAATATATTAACAATGAAACTAGTAGCTTAATTAACTATGAAAACAGAAATATCAGTAATATTATTACAAGTAATTTGTTAGAAACAGTATCATCTTCTATAATAACAAATTGAAACAAAATATAAAGCCATTTCATAAAAGATTTGAATTTTAAAAATATTAAAAAAATGACTTGTAACTATTGCAAGGCTATATATGTTTGTAGTGAAGGTAGTACTACTAATGTGTATAAATATTTTGAAAGATACTATGCAATAAAATTAAATTGAAATATTAATAGACCAAGTATCAAAAATTATTTTAATAAAGCAAAGGTAATAAATTTTATTTATATTAAATATCAAGTTTATTATTTAATTTATTTAATATTTTAATATTTAGTGGACATATGACTAATCTTTCTATAATTTATTATTTGAAAAATTTAAAAAAAACAATTATTTTAAGTTAAAAATTCAATATTTAAACTTAAAATTAAGTCTAAGTAAATTTTATAAACTTTGTTCTTAAAACTTTAAAAAAAAACAAATATGTATTCAATTTATATTAATAGAAAAAAGTTAAAAATTAAATTATAACAAATTAATTCAAATAATAATAATAATAATTTTATTATTAATTAATTACAAACTAAAATTAATTTTTATAAATAATATCTTTATTTTAAAATTCAACAATATGAGTTTTATAAAAATTTTTTTGAATTAATAACAATTATCTTTTGTGTTGTTGTTATGAACTTTAAAGAAAATTTTAAAATTAGGAATAAATCAATTGAAATTAAAAAAGATTTTTATAAAAAAATGTAAATTTCACTTTTAAGATTTGTTGTTTTTTATAAAAATCAAAATAATATAATTTAGGCTCATTATTTTGATTATTTTTCAAAAGTTTTAAATTATGATTTATTATTTGTAACTAATTGTATTAAAAAACTTTTTTCTAAATTTTTTATATTACAATTTAATGAAATTTGTTTTTGGTTTAATTCTAAAATACATTTTTGTTCTGATGAATTAATATATTTTATCTTTAATTATTTATTTTCTATTTATTATTTATAAAAATTAATGAAAAATATATGTTTTAACTCTTAATATACTTAAAAATATAGATTATAAAAAAGTTTTATTAAAAATAAAAATAATAAATATATAAGAAAAACAAAATATGTATTAATAAAAAAAAATTAAATTAATAATAATAATAATATTTCAAAAATAATGAGAAATAGAAATAGACAAAGATTAATTATTAGAGTAAAAAATATACCTAATTTTTTAATTTTTATAGAAATATAATATGATAATATAAAATAGAATCTAAAGTATAGGTAATAGCTATATATAATTTTAGGTTTAGCTATTTTTCTTTTATATAAGCTTTTTTTTTTTTTTTTTTT